TTCTATTTAGCATCGAGCTACTTTAACTGGTAATTGTGTGGTCATACAACACTGTACACAAAATGAAATTTATATAATGTTTTTCACACAGAGCTTTCTTTTGGTGGTATTTGATCACCACAGTTTTTTTCTTCTTTTATTATAAAAATGAAAAAAGACCAAAAATTTGGAAAAAAAAAAATTTTTTGCTTTCTGCTTTAAAAAAATCCAATTAGAAAATTAAATACTGTAAGTTCACCCTTTTACCAAAAATAATAAATTAACATTTTTTTTTGCAGGTAAAAAAATGTGCATTTATTATTTTTGGTTGCAGGAGCCTGGAAACCATTGCACCAGCGATCAGAAGATCGCTGATACCATACAGGTCTCCTGCAGATCTGTCAGTATATCTGTTTGCCCAAACAGGATGTCTGAGCAATCAGATATACTGACAGAAAGAATCAATGAACTACCACAACACTCCACAGCGCCGTGGTAGCAGACAGCTGCTAAGGCTGTCGAGACTTGTAGCGTCTCATTCACAGAGGACTGTGAATGAGTGATGCAGCTAGATGTCAAAGTGGGGGAGCGGAGGCAATAGGGGCCAGTGCATTCATAAAATGTTACATCCTGAACGTGGGTGTAACAAGTAACATGTTATGAAAGGTGAACATATCCTTTAATTAAAAAATAAAATGTCTTCATAAATTTAGGCCAAAATGTATTTTGCTACATGTCTTTGGTACAAAACAAATCCCAATACGTTTATATTATTATTTTTTTTTTTTTTAAGTCCGCAAACGTGCAACTATTATCGTAAAAACCCGTAAGTGTTCACAAAAAATGTGCAAGTGCAAAACACCACACGAAAAAGTGCACTTAGGGGTGTGCTGTGTCCTACCACTAAAGGGGCTTGGACCGCTTACCCTGATCCCCCGGGGCACGAAGCTCCTGACGGGGACAAGGTTCCCAATTGGTCCTCCTGGCCTCTTAGGAGTGTGATCACACTCTGTCAGTACTCGCCATAATGTCGGTCCGATACGTAGTGACGTCACTGCCCCCCCCCCCCCCCCCCATCGTGTTGCACCACAGGGAAAAACGTAGCTTCGTCTGGGGGATGTAGTAGCTACTAAGAGGCTGAGCATCACCGCAGCTTGCGGTTTTATTTCTACATGCTTGTTGTTTTTTAACACAATGTGAGTGCATTATGGGAGCACATTAAACAGTGTTTGTTATACCTTGGATAAGGCACCATATCTTTTTATCTTCTTTCTTTTATGGGTCATATGAGGATACATTGAGCATTGAGGAGAGGCTCTAGGAGGGAGAAAACCTCATATCCACATAGACTCAGAAGATAGTTCGTAGGTTTCCATCTACATCAACATAAGCAACTTGAAAAGGAGAGTATATCACCAATATCTACTTCCTGCTGAACCCTAAAAAACTTTTTTGCACATTTTTCTTTTTTGCACATTTTTGCTGCTGAACTTTATGAATTGATATATATTTTTTAATTATCTTTATTATTTTTATTTATTTATATTTCACTAATATTTATACAATTTATTGTTTGCTTTGCATCATTTGCACATTGGATCATATGAATTTATACTATTTTTTTCATTATTTTTATTTATTTATATTCAGTTGATTTTCACACTGGCACAGTGAATTTTATTAATTTATTTATTTTCAACGAAATAATCACACTGTATAAGTATCATAATTGGATTTAATTACACACTTTTTATTTTTAAGCTTTATTAAGCACTAGGAGAATACAATAAGATTAATTTAGACAATCCAGGTAAAAAGTTGATAAGATGATAGTATCACAGCATATATGAATTAATGGTGTTGCTATGGTATTATATAATATATAGCATTGGCAAGGTAATATTAGAGCGCGGATAATTATTTATTGATTTTATAGAATTTACATCTTATGACAGTGAGAAAAATTCCAGCGATCTAATACATTGATTTCTAACTCCAGTGGCTCACAAGTTCATCTTTATAATAATCATCAGGATAATGCCCAAAGTGACCAAAAGAGATATCTGTCTAGGGTACAAATTAGGTACACAAAAGTAAGTATATATATAAAAAAGGAAAGGCGCTTTACACATTCAAATCCAGGTGACAACAAATACTACTAAAGTCAATTGAAGTTCAACAAACTACAAGTCCAGATCAGGTAGATATGAAATGTCCCACACCGTGCTCCATACATGTGCACTCACCTCAGGTATATTACCCCTTGGTAAAAGAAGGTCATGCATCATTTTTCCAATCAATTTTTAAACTCTTTAATGATCCAGTCCCAGTTTACTTTCAACTGTTCCTTCACCAACATACCACCACTGCTCTCTCTCAGGTAAAAAAAACATTCAGCATCAAAAAAATATATATGTTTTCATAGTGCAGTATTTATTGAGCTTAGGATGTACAGTATATACCATAAAAGACAAATAGCCACTTACATTAATATGTGCCCAAGATCTTTGCACCAATACATACAGCTTGAAACTGGGCAGCTCCACCACTCAACTCTCCAGAGCTGGCGTGCATTACAGACTAGCATCCGGGCTCACTAGTTGTAAACAACCTGTCAGCTGTAAAGGTGTGGAAGGGAAGGGTTAACAGCAGTAAACATGCCGCTCTGTTGCTAAGCATAGAGACAGGCACTCTGCCTGTCTCTGTACTCCAACTTTAGGTTAGTCCTAATAACCTTTAGTATAGTTATCTACAAACTGGAGGTAAAACGTTTTGAATTCAGTACAGCCATAGCACCACTTGTAAAATTCTGGGGATTTTTGCAGGCCAATTTAAAGGGCCTCACCAGCAGAAAATTGCTGTAAGTGCTTTATTAAATTCCTCTGAATGAGTTTTCCCAAGTCAGCTCATTATGCTTGCACCAAAAAACTCAACAAAATGCATCATGGTGTATCTGCTGTCGCAGAGCCCTTAGGACACTGTTGCCCAACCTGCGGCCTTTTGGTATTCAATGTGGCCCTCAGACCTCAGCAGTTTGTAGTGGGAACATTGTTTAAGGTAATAGCATTGATCTCTACTAAATGATGAATAACCTGCGCTCAGGACCAACGAATACACACCTAATTGTACTTAACTAAAACAGTGAATGGATAGGCAGCTGCTTCTAAAAGGTACAATCTTCTCAAATAAACAAAACACATAAAGCGCTGGCTAAATAAATAATGACAACTGACATGGACTAACTAATCATAAATATAAATAACAAATAAAGTCCATAATATGAAATAAAGTCCTTAATGTGAAATTTGATACGTGCAAAATGCTGCTTTCACAACCAATAAGTAATAGGTGCTCTGTGCTCCCTGCCAGTAAACCCCCTAACTCACCGACTATCATGGATAATGAACAAGAGTCATTCATGCTTTGGTGGGGCATGAAAAGTTATGCTGGGTTTTATAGTCCTCCAGGCTTAAAAGGTGCTTGTCATCCTCAGTGATCTCGACATGGTGCCATAATATGGAGTATGTGTATATAAGGAATGGAGAGAGGCATCCACATAGTATAACTCTGTTTATTAGATAAAAGCAGACACACGTAAATTGTACTCACATGTTTCCAGAGACATATGGGCATAAAAACGCTGATTAGGAAGGCTGTATACTGCTAGTAAACTCAAAACAACAGCATTGACGTCACCGCGGTCCGTTCTAACGTGTTTCACCCCTCCCACTGGGCGTCCTCAGAGGCATCGCCTTTTTATGTGTGTTGTTTATTGATCTACTAGCCTCATGTAACGTGTTCCCAGTTTCATCTTGTCTTCTGCATCATATCCCCTGCCAAAAATATAGCATGTCCACACTTTCTGACCCCCATTTCCTTTATTAGGTCTGCAGTTTCTGAGAGTCCTATCAAGCATTACATTGAACATTATGTGTGGCCCTTGGTTGATGTCAGGGGCTGCATTTGAGGTATCCTTAAGCTCATAAGGATAACAACCATTGCCTTAGGGCCTGTTCACACCATTTGTTCTGGGCTGCCTTGCACACTACCAACACAGAAACAATGCAATTTTCCTTGTTTACTATGAAGTCAGTTGACACTACTGCGCTGCAGCGGTGTGCTATATTGAAAAGTACTGTATGAAGTATGATTTGGAGAGCAGCATGTTACAACATACGATACTGCACTTGGGATATTTAATTAAGTTCTAACAAAAAAAGAAAAAAGTGTAATTGGTGCAACGCAGGGCCAAAGCAGCTGCCCCAAACTTGCCAACTATCCCAGTTTACACTCCCTTATCCCTTGAAGTCTTCGTCTCATGTTGTGTCCAGATATCATGGTGTGAAATGTCTCAATTACATTGGTGGCCAGCACATATCTTCTCATTACATGGGGGCTTGGCGTAGAATCCTTTCATTCACACTAGTGGTCAGTGTGAATGCCCCCCTTACAATGGTGGTCAGTGTAAATCCCTCCTTACATTGGTGGTCACTGTGAATGGTCCTATTACATTAGTGGTCAGTGTAAATCCCTTTTACATTGGTGGCCACTGTAGAAACTCCTCTTTATATTGGTAGTTGGTAGAAAAAGTCCTAACTGGCATTTTTGGTTATTGTCGACTCCTCCTTTACATTGGTGGTCCATGTAGAAGGCCCACTAAATTGGTGGTCAGTGCAAATTCCCTCTTACATTGGTGGCCAGTGTAGGTATTTATTGGTTGTTGGTGTACAATCCCCCATTACATTGGTTGTCAATGTAAATCTTTCATTACATTGGTCGTCAGTGCAAATTCCCCATTACATTGGTGGTCAGTGTAAAGTTACCTTTACATTGGAGGTAAGTGCAATGTTACCCTTACACTGGTAGCAAGTGTAAATCCCCTCTTACATTGGTAGTCGATGTAGAAATGTCACCTCCCATCCCCATCCAGCACTGCCACTGATTCCATACCCCCACCAGCCCTGTTACTCATCCCATCCCCCCAGCACTGCCATTTACCCCATTTCCCCACCACTGCCACTGATCCTATCAACCCCCCAGCACTGCCACAGATTCCAGGAGTCTTTGAATCTCTAGGAATTTTCTGTCTATTAGTAGGTCCCCTTACCTTCCCAGTCCATGGTGTGCAGGCAGTGAGGAGATGATGTGCTGTAACCAGGGGCGGACTGACCATTTGGAAACTCGGGCACTGCCCAAGGGCCCGGGGTCAGTAGGGGGCCCAATGAGATGCCCCTGGTACCTTTTTCATAGGCTTTTTTGAGTTTGGGCAAGGACACGGGGGCCTCATGATCCCCTATTGCCCAGGGGGGCCACATAAGTTGTCAGTCCGCCCCTGGCTGTAACCTTCAACAACCAATTAGTGAGCTGTAATTACAGTATGTGTTGTAACCTCTATCAATTAATAAGCAAGTGATAATGATACCCAGTAACAATAGCAACAAATCAGTGAGCAGTAATAATGTGCAATAACCTCTAGCAACCAATCAGTGAGCAGTAATAATGTGCAGTAACCTCTAGCAACCAATCAGTGAGCAATAATTATCTGCAGTAACCTCTAGCAACCAGTGAGCAGTAATGATGTGCAATATCCTCTAGCAGCAAATCAGTGAGTGGTAATGATGTGCAGTAACTTCTAGCAACCAATCAGTGAGGGATAATGATGTGCAATAACCTCTAGCAACCAATCAGTGAGCAGTAATGATGTGCAGTAACCTCTACCAACCAATCAGCAAGCAGAAATCATGTGCTGTAACCTCTACCAACCAGTCAGTGAGATTTAATTATATGCTGTAACCTCTGGCAACCAATTGCAATTGATGCCTGATCTGTAAAATAACTGATTTTGATTCTAGCTGCTATATATTGTGTGTCTCAGAGCAAGTGGAGAGCAAAATTGCATGGGGGGGGGGCTAAACAAATGTTTGCCCAGGGTCCAATCAATATTAAAGACAGCCCTGGTGCAATGTGCTGTGTGTTCAGTGCAGCTTACTTGTGTAAACAAGCCCTAAAAATGTAACTTTTTTTTTTTTAATTAGATTAGGGTGGCCTTTCTCAACTTTTTACCCCAGAGGAACCCCTGAAATAATTTCCAGGTCTTGGGGAACACCTGATAAAATCAAATTATTGGGGATACATGGAAAAATGCTCCTTACATTGGTGCCCAGTGGGAAGAATGTTCCTTACATCGAGGGTCAATGGGAAGGATGCCCAACTTTCAGTGGTGGTCAGAATGCCACCCTTACAGACAGCAAAAAAGATAATTGATATAACACTGCTGTCAAATGGTGTTGGCCCCAGAATTATGCAGGTAGTATCATAGAGAGATCAACAGAATCAGCTACAACTCATGGAACCCCTAGAAACCTCAGAAGAAACCCTAAAGTTTCACGGAATCCTAGTTGAGAATGGCTGGACTAGGGGATGGTTAGAAATAGGAATGAACCAATACCATTTTTTTTACAGCGAGTACAAGTCCCAAATTTTTTGTTTCTCTTAGTACTCGCCAATACCAATTACTGATATCTGCTGGCAACTGTTTTGTTTACACTTTAGCTGTCAGCAGGGGAACCCCGCTGACAGCTCAATGAGTGATCAGTTGTTAAGGATGTGGCGGCCCCTTTCCTTAACCAATCAGGCTCTCACAACTATTCATCCCTTTTGGAACAGAACAATTTTTACATTTCTGCTATGGACCTGTTTATTCAGTGATAACTTTGTCATTACTTAAGATAACAATGTAATACATATATTGTTTTTAAAGACAAACAAGGATGTATTTTTGTGGATATTGTCTTAAAACAATTATATTTTTTTCACACCTTAGTTTTAGACAACTAAAAGTAACAAAACTAAAAAAAACTTACATGTTTTCTTTTTTTTAGCAGTGTTCAAAAATAAATTGTGTTACTGCACAAAAAAAGTATGCATTTTATTTTTTAATTTATCCTGTTTAAAACAACACTAACATTATTATTCTAATACATAGCATTGAAAAGTTATTTGCAAATTAAATACATTTATTTTTTTCAATGTGAAATGTGTAAATATATATTAAAAGAAGTAAAAATATTAACAAACTTAGTAAAAACAGACAAAAAAGTTTTAATTATTAGTTTATAAAATAGAAATTAAAAAAAAAAATCTGCAGGAAAAAAGGAGAATAGGAATAAGGAGTTAATTAGGGCTGATTACAGTAAATTAAGGGTTAATAGGGTGTTAAACAGAAACATTTAATAAAAAATTTGACAGGTTGCTTTCAACTGACTTCATCTGCAGATCAAAGTTCATTCCTTTGATCTGTAGATGAATAAACATAAAGATACAAAATGAATCAATGTTTCTTTTTATCTTTCTGTTTTAGTGGCTGAGCAAAGTTGTTGATAAACATCGTCAGGCTGCTTTTTTTGTTCACAGTTCCAATTGCCAGGACTTGTTTATGCTTCAGCTGTCAGATAGGGAACCCTGCTGACAGCTAAATGAGTCATTGGTTGTTAAGGACAGGGGTGCCTCACTTTGTAACAACTGGTAATTGCCAGCTTTTTTTATCTACATTTCAGCTGTCAGGGGGGAATCCTGCTTACAGCTGAAAGATCAGACCCTGAAGGTATCAGTTTCAGGTATCGTTGCATTTGCACGAGTAAGATACTCTGTTGGTTTTCTATGTTGAGAAGATTTCCCCTCACGTCTTGGTCTGATGACACAGGAAATGAGAGGACATCTCTGCACAATACCCTTCTGAAATAGTTGTCCTTGGAATGGGTGTCCATAATGGAAGATTATCCATTTTGTAACTATTTGGATTTCCCATCACTTTCTGTCCCAGAAAATGATGGTGAGGAGGATATGTCGAGAGGGTAAATCTGCCCCTGTAGGAAAAAACACAGCAGTAAAAGCTCAACTGGGTTTCTATCCCTTTCCTCTTCTAAGCAAAAAAAAAAAAAAGTTTGGCAAGAAATACTCTTTAAAACCAACTTTGAGTTGCCTGGATTTATGAAAATTGTGCTTTAAAGCAAACCTGCAGGAACTGTTCTAACCTGAAAAGTATCTTTAATATCACTGCATGTACATTTTAAGTATATACAGTCATGGTCAAAAATATTGGCACCCCTACATTTCTGTCAAATAATGCACTTCTTCTCCCAGAAAATTGTTGCAATTACAAATGTTTAGGCATTCTCATGTTTATTTATTTTGTTTGTATTGGTATGACACATAAAAGCAGAGAAACAGAAAGACAAATCTCACACATTCCATGCAAAACTCCAAAAATAGACTGGACAAAATTATTGCCATCTTCTCAAAATTGTAAGAAATAATTGCATTCTGAGTTTGTGATGCTCCTGTAATTTGTAATAAAACTCACCTGTATCAATTAATGGGTGCTGATGATATAGAAATCACACCAGCAGCCAGTTACAATGGTGAAAAATAGACTCAACCTTTCTGTTGTGTGTCTCTACATGCCACATGGAGCATAGACAAGAGAAAGAGCAGCGAGGAATTGTCTGAGGATTTGAGAACAAAAATAGTGGAAAAGCAAGGACAATCTCAAGGTTACAAGTCCATCTCCAGAGATCTTAATGTTCCTGTGTTCACTGTGTGCAATAAGTTTACAGCCCATAGCACTGTAGCCAGGGCTGTGGATAAGGGGGTACCACCAGAACTCCTGGACAGGGTCCAGGCCAGCAGGGAGGCCCAGGCAGCTGGAGGAATCGGATGTTGGCAGTGAGGGTAATCGGCATAACAGGGGAGTGGATCGGAGGCAGGGGCGGACTAACCATTTGGAAACTCGGGCACTGCCCGAGGGCCCGGGGTCAGTAGGGGGCCCCATGAGATGCCCCTGGTACCTTTTTCATAGGCTTTTTTGAGTTTGGGCAAGGACACGGGGGCCTCATGATCCCCTATTGCTTGGGGGGCCCCATGAGTTGTCAGTCCGCCCCTGGGCGGGGGGGGGGGGTTACTGGAACTAATCCCGTGTACTGCTATCTCTGCAGCAGCTGAAAGCTGCTTCTCCTCTGCAGAGAGCCATACAGATTGGTTCCAGTAATTGCCCCTGCACCCATCACTCTGCCTGTGCACCATACTTTTCTCCCTGTTGTTTCCTTCAAGAAGGAGAATTCGACAAGGATCTGGTAAGTCAGATTTACCAGCCCCTTCCTTTCCTGAATAAACATAATGAGAGAGCAGTACCAATCACTCACTGTGCTCATTCATAAAATCAGCATAGTAAACTGTTTTTTTTTGGGGGGGGGGTCTGTTAGGTTGGCTGTGTGGGGCCCTGAGGTTTCTAACAGTAGCCCTGATTGTAGCTAACCTCCCTGGATGTGTACGAAAGAGAAAAATTGATTGAAGATTGCAACAAAAGATTGTTCGAATGGTGGCTAAAGAACCTCGATGAACTTCCAGACAAATTCAAGCTGACCTTCCGGCACAGGGTACAACATGCAGGGAGATTAGCTACAGTGCCATGAGCTGTAATCGTCTTGCGCACAGTGAACACAGGAGCATTAAGATCTCTGGAGATGGACTAGTAACCTTGTAAGGGGAGAGGAGGGAGTGCTGACAACAGCTGTGACATGGGAGCCTATGGGTGATGTCACCGCTCCCAGAATTCCCAGCTATTGTTGAGCGCTCCCTCTTCCCTGCAGCTGCCTACTCACTGACACAGGGGATCACTTGACCAGACTGGAGGAGGCTTAAAAAAGGTAAGTACACATATCTTTTTTACACAGAGTAGACAGGATGGGTAGCGGGGGGTGGGGGCATTTTTAGGAATAGTTATGATTAGGCAGGAATTCCACTTTAAGAGTGGTAAGGCAGGGTCACCCCCCAACTTTCCAACCCAAGGGAGGTCATGTATTTCAAAGCTACCCAAAGATGGATTAAAATTCAGCATGTTCAGCAGGGACTGGACACATTTCGATCCATCTATTGCTGTTCCAGTTCAAGCAGAATCAATCTAATGATCAGAAAGAGAATAAAAGAGAAAACAAAAAACAAAATAATAATAATATGAAAACAAGAAAGAAAGAAGGCCCTTTAGGTCTGGTATGGATTTTGAGGGGAGCCCCACACCAAAATTAAAAAAAAGGCCTAGGGTCCCCCCAAAATCCATACCAAACCCACCTGTTGT